ATAATTTGAGAATTGTTATTGTGTTAGTTTATAGATAAGTCTGAATACATTGAATCTCAAGCCACTTTACTGGCACAAACTTGGGCAACTTTACACTAAACTATCACAGTATTTTTAAGAATTTCCTCCTGCCGAAACTGCAGTTTGGTAATAAGGTGAACTCAGCAAACATGAATTTAAATCCCTTTTTAAATACATACATAATGAAATTTAAAAATTACTAACCTACTTGCTTTTTCTCTCCCTCTTTACATGCCTTATTCTCATTCTGCCTCCTTCCACTTCCAGTTTCTTCCTCACTCATGTCTAGTTTTTCTTTACTTTCTCTGACTCTCTTTATCGGTTTCTTTAAAACAAAGTAAAAAGCTTATCTATTTTGTCTATCCTAAAAGCAAGTATTCTTCCCATCATCTACTTCTTTTGCGTTACTGTTTTCACTTTTTTCCTTATATACCTGCATTACTGTTTGGCTCATTTGGAGTACCCTGCTTTTAAGACAGAATGCTTACCTGCAATGAACACTGTCAAGTGGTCAAATGAGTTCAGAACCTGCATAGATCATGTTGAAAAGGTCTAGAACTTTAGAAAGGACAGTTGGATATTCCACTCCTTCCTCTGAGCGCAGAAGAGTCTACACTATACACTCATCTCAATGTCTTCCTGTCCAGATTTTAGAGGTTGAAGATTTAGGTGACTAGCTCTAACTAGGTGGTTAATGTGTTTGAAGCTTGTTCCAAGTTAAAAGATAGAAGAAAAATGCTTTCCATAAGGTAATTAATTACGAGCTTCACTTGGTAGAATTACCAGAAATAAGCACTTGCTTGGCTATCTGCCGCAATAACCTACCTTTACCAAATGAAGATTTCATTGTATCATTATTGGGTTGGTGACCACTAAACACCTAGGAAAAAATTATTGCAGTACATGCTTAGATAGCACTGTATAGTTTTTTCAGTCAGGGCAGCCTCTGAGAAGAGAAAGGTCCATCACTGAAGGATACAAAAGCCATCTTACTGAAGTAATATAAGTGGAATTGTGTTCTATTTGTCTTCATTTCACCAAGAAAGCATGAATTAAAAAGCCTTAATTTGAATGCAATCATTTGGTTCTGTCTACTTATAGACAAGAATTAAGGGCCTACTCCCATTGTCTAACTCTAGAAAATGCCAGCATATTTATTTGTGCAAAGATAGAACTCATATGCACAACTGCCAAAGGATTAATACAACTTTAATGTTTATGGTGACTGTTTTACTGGATAGGTGACATTTTAACTTTCTCTAGACAGTAATATCAATTATTCCTGATACTTCCTTTCTACCCACACCAGACTGAACCTACTGCATGACTATCTTCAGCCTGTTGAAAATGCTGCACAGTGGACTGAAGAGCAGAAAGTGTCCCTACCTGATGAGCAGGGAAAGGGGAGTGGGATGCCCAAACAACACTCCATTTTATTTAAAGTCCCTTGACGCTCTATGTTGCATTTTGTGGGAAGGGAGCTGAACAGGATGCTTTAAGAGGGAGCAGAAAAGTCTGCTCGTACCAATCTAGTATCACACACCCAAATTTGAATCCAACCCGTGCAGTACTGCTCTGTTTTGTAGCACTATTCATTATTAAAACTGATAATGTCTACTTTCACATTTAGCAGATTTATGCAAATTCATTATAGAGCTAAAATAAAGAAAAAATCTTTATACAAAATAAACAGAAAAACCAAATTTACATGCTATTGCTCATGGTTTTAAAGAATAATTCTTTTCTTTTTGTTTTTGCCCTTCATCTTCTCTCTCTTCTTGAAGAGAAGATATTAAGTACTACTGGGGATCTCAACATACATTTGACGGTACTGAACCCAATAATATAGAATAATGATACAAGTAGCCAATGTTAATGAATGAGGCAGAACTGAACCTTCAATGAAAAAGAAGGTATATCTTTTAATAATTTCTGTCATATTACTGTATCAGCCTCCTTTAAATAGCAAACTTAGCTTAGGAGTAGGGAAGGAAAAACAAAATTACAAACTGAGACTAGAAAACATTTCACAGTAAAATCTAATAATAACAATTTCTAATAAGAGCATATTGAGCCATGTACTAAGGACACAGGAAGATAATTAAGAGAAGTTGGAAATGTGCATATAATTGTGATCAAGGCATTGACCAGATATCAAATTTAGATGGCCCACACATGGAAACTGAGTTTATGTGATCTTCAAATATCTTTCCCTGAATTATTCCAAGCTATATTATATCTATAATATATGTGCTTTCCTCCCTCCCTTCCTTCCTTCTTAAATTTGTATGCTGCTAAATCTTCTAGGCTCACAGTGGCTTAGAACATAATAAAATACAATAAAAAACCTTCCACAATATAATAAAATGTTAAAAGCTGTATTATTATCTCTTCTGTTTTTTGTTTTAAATTATATTCTGTGGCAAAAAGATTCATTCTTAAGGCACAGATTAGTATAATTTAAATGTCAGTAGCAAGGTTACAAACATTTATCAAGGTAGTAACTATGCTATGACTTAAGACAAAGAAATTGTACTTTATAGCCACATAATTTACTGAACATCACGTTGAAGTCATGATTTAAAGTAAGCAGCTTTTTTACGGTACTAATACATCTATCTTTCTCAAGTTTTCATTTTCAAATGATTATTAAGCAGGTATGTTCCCAATTTATAAAATGTTAATAATTTCTTTCTAAGGTAAATTGAATAGAAGGCATGGGACAATCAATGTATAGAAAGAAAAAGAATACAAGACAAGGAAGAAGCAAAATCATGTAATGAATTCTTTTGAAACTTAAAACAAGGCATCACATTGAAACTATAAGTCTACAAGAACAACCACTTAGTCAGGAATTGCTTCATTTGGTCTTTAGTATTTCTAAAACCTTGACTAACAGGCAACATCATTCAAACATATATCAATTTCAATGCATCTGTCCAATCTGCTCCAGAAAGCTCCCAACTTTGAAATGAAGTTTGGTTAAGTGTGTTTGTAGTGTCTGTATGTGTATGGGGGGTGGGGGGGGGAGAGGTAGAGCAAGGAAGGGTAATTTATTCAGCAGTCACATTAACAGAAGCAAACAACATCAGGTAGCAATGGACTAACAAAATCAGCATGTCTGCTTTGAACAGATTTTGTCAGTTCATAAGGCATAAACCAGAACTGAATCCAGACTTGCATGAAATAGTTTAAGTGAGAAATTTAATGATTCAGAAGACTGGAGAAAACTAGCCAACCAGCTTGCAAAAACCCCTACTCTTTTTTTTTTTTTTTAAAATTTGAAAGCACTATGGTCAGAAAGATCAGTAATTGAGAGATCATGCTTATCACAAGCAATACTTTACTTAGGGGTCTCTGATTAGAATGCTTTTGGGAAGAATGATGGGTTTTATAAAATGCTTTGTAGTCTTGTTTTCTGGTATTAGTTCTATTTTAACCAAACTAATATCTAAAAAACACCATGGGGATGAAAAAACTGTGATTTGCATACTACTTCCTTGTTCCCTTAGCTTTTCAACCAATCCTTATTCCAACTTCCCCAGTTCTTTTTGTGCCATCCTTCCTTTTTCCTTCAAATCCCATTCATTTAAATTCAGATCCTTATTTTCAGACTTTTCCTTTATATATCTACTTCCTTTCCTTCCCCTCTCATTTTGGACTAATTTGTTCATTATTGAACTTGCTGCAGGAAGTTTTAGAATCATATGTTTTGTTCATTCTTTAATACATTATATGTGAGCAATTTATTATACACTTCAGTGTTTTGTTTCATTGTTCCTTTCTTAATGTTAAATGAAGTGTTAAACTACAGTACATTTTATTACCAGTTTATGGTGATGACAAAACTAGTGGAGAGAATTAAAGGCATTGTTGCTGCTATTATAATCATCATTATCATTCATCATCATTAAAGTACTATGGAACTGCCTCTCTCTTTCTGCCCACCCCACCAGAGGGGATAGGGTAGGCCCACTCCAGTTCCCTTCCCTTAAATATTGCCATCTTGTTGGTCCAAAGATGCCTTTTCTCTTGCAGCCTCTGACCTACAGAATGCCTTTCCCCCTGAGATCCCACAGGCCCCATCCCTTCTGTCCTTCAGGAGAACACTTAAAATCTGCCTCTTCCTCCAGGCATTGGGGTAGGGTGAGCTCAGGCTGGGATGATAATGTGGGTTGCATCAGGGAAGTGTGATTGTGGCGTCAGCTTTTTCTGTTTTTATCGCTGTTGGTTTTATATTGTTTTACTGGTTGTAAGCCACCCAGAATTGTTTTAAGATGGGTGGCTATACAAATGTTTTAAACAAACAAACTGAGCAGCCTACAAAATTCAGCATGTAGTATTTATAGGAAGGAGCAGCAGTAAACACTAATCTTTCACTGAAACATTTATCTCAAAGTTGGAGTCTTTATTTCTATCAAAAAGACAACTGTATCTGCCAACAGACGAGTTGCACATTTTAAAAGAGGAAGGCATTTTATTAAGTAAAATTTGACAGACTTTATCCTCTCAGTCTGGTCTATTAAGCTGCAAATGTTACTTTCTATTACTGCTCTTGCAAAACAAATGTTTAAAGTTCCTGCTATTTGCAAATTTTGTATATGAGTTGCTGAAGATGGGACAACAAATATCATATTTCTAAAATTTGGTATAGATTTGGCTCTAAATTTAACTAATTGACCATAAATCAATCAAATTTGACTTTTTAAAAAAAAATTCAAAATTTCAATCAGTATTTCAGCATTCCACCACATCCTGCTATCTATGCGTAATTTTAAATAAACTTCCATAAAAGAACAATAGAAATTAAGATATTACATATTTGGGGGGCTTGCACTGTTTTTCTTAGGAAAGCACCGAGCCTAAGACAAGGTATAAGGAATTAAAGATTGTTTGCAAAATGAAATAACTGTTCACTTAAATGTAACCTAAAGTTAGAGCAGAAATTACAGCTTAGAATGACATTCACAGTTACTAACCTTTGCTAAGTAAGCTTCCACTCTGTTTTTTGAGGCTAATGCAGTTCCACTTGTGTTCAGGAATCCTCCTCCAAGGCTAAGAGATCTATTTAATGCTAAATTGCTGCCAAGGTTTCCAATCTGAACTGTTTCCAAGACAGGGTTTGAAGAAAGGCTTCCACTTATAAAGCTGTTGGCAAGTAAAGACTTGCTTTTGTGACGCTCATGAATGAGTTTAGCGTTAGCTTCTGCTAATTTCTCATTAGCTCTGCAAAAGATTCAGCAGCATATCAGTAGTTAAATAAGATATCATCTTAAAATAATGATATGCTTAATTTCATAAGACATCAGAACTCCAAACAAAATATAACGCATCTCTAGCCCCTTCCAGAAATGCTCCTATCCAGGGCTCTACCTAGCCCAGAAAGAGGCCTCATTATCCTGTTCCAAGTTCTGGAATGGTCATTAAAAAAGCAAAGCTTTTTTTGTTGTTTTTCCTCTATCTTTCTGACAGTTTGAACCATCTGTGCTAAAATAAGCTACATGTCCAGTTATAGTTATTAGTCTGAAGCATGATCTGGAAAGGAGAATATGAAGTCTTCCTTTTCCTTGATTTGAAATCTCAACAGAAATGATTGAAGAGCAAGGGTGCTTTGGAGTTGGACCAGGACTGGGCAAGCCCATGCTTAAGAGCACCCTTAACTATGAAAGCTTACTTAGGCCATCGCTGTCTGTGACTTAGGCCATCACTCTCCTGCAGCTCAATCTATCTCAGTCGTAGAGAAAAGAAAAAAATAGAGGGAGTGCTACGTACACGGCTTTTGAGTTCCTGGAGGAAAGGAACTAAGGAATATCTAATAAATATATCAACAAAGCCAAGGAGAGACATTTTTATCTTCAACAGAATGTATCCCCTCCTCTGAAATCCTAATCAAAGCTTACTAAGAGTCCTTAACATAGCAATTACTTTCCCTTCTATTTTTTCTCTTTTTCAATTAATGTTCAATTTTCCAAAGTCAATATTTGTTTTCCCATTTAATTTGCAAAACAAATTTCTTCTGTATACCTGTGCAAATTTTAAATATGTAGACATCAGTAATTTATGTAATTGTACAGAAATCAGTCATGTACTGTTTGTGGATGTTACAGTTTTCCTGACAGCTAGATTTCCAAATCTGGCATTAGAAATTATACATTTAGACCCTTCAAGTGGAAAGGGAAATAAAATTAGTAGAGGACTGCTCAGCTCTGGGAGTCAATAAGTAATGTTATGCTAATTCAAACCTAACCAGCACTGTATAAGGTAGATGAAATCTATTTACCTCTCTCTCATTCACTGCATGGAAACACCAAGATTCTGTTCTTTTCATATATTAATTAGGATTAGATAAAACATCTTCTCTCCAATTCTAGTTACAGTAAACCCCTCCCCCTCAAAGATGATAGAGTCTAAAAAGAAGTAGTGTCCTTGCTTTGGAGGAAACAGTATGTCTGAAAGATACAAGCCTTACAGTGTGCATCCCCTGGTCCTAATCCCGTATGTGGATAAAATCCATCTAAAAGATGATAAAATATTGGCAACTTATTTAGGCCCATCTATCCCAATTCAATTTTCTTTTGAATTTCTGTAGGCTAAACAGTAAAATCCCTGAATATTTAAATCATCATCAGATTTGTTTTCTTTTAATAAGCTTAGACATACATATTTTCATATGTAATTGGATAATCTTTCCAGGGTATGTGGTTGCTCCTTTCTGTTATTTAGATGATAATACAGAACCATCAATTTAGTATTAGAAGGGATAGCAGAAATTACAGACCTATTGGGATTTTCCTAACGTATTATTTAAACATATTATTTTAGAGCCAGTTTGGTCTAGTGGTTAAGGTACCAGGCCAGAAACCAGGAGACTGTTTGAAAGCCAGCTGGGTGACCGTTGAAGCCAGTCACTCTCTCTCAGCCCAACTCACCTCACAGGGTTGT